ACAACCTTTCCGAAAGCCAAGGGGTGCCGCTAAAATTTATGACTAAAATTTATATCCAACATGAACCAGTCCTTGGGTTAATATGCAAACTAAAACATACGTTCTAACAACGTCGCACTATTTGTTCTATTATTATGATTACGATGGCTTAATGGAACTTATGTAATCAAGTCAACTTATGGTCATGCATCTACGGAGTTCCGTACACTTTTTATTCTTGTATTTCTTTTGTATTAAAAAAATGAACGTTATTAATTGATTGAGTAAAATAATTTGTTTATAAGCAACTAATGACATGATTACTTGCTTAGAATACGAGAATTAGGGAGTGCGCAATATAATGAATGAGTATGATAATGAGTAGTAGTTGTTGGTTCGATTTTTGTAAGAGCACGTATGAGATAAACTACTTCACTTAAACAATCTAATTTCTATTACCATATATGGTTTAGAGCAGGGGCGGAGCTATTCATAGGCCTGAGATGGCCTGGGCCCCCCCAACATCTTCTCACCTCTTTGACTGTATAATGAGTGTAGTATAGATTGCACAAAAAAATCCCATAGTTTTAAGCTTGTGGCCCCTCTAAATATCAAACTCTACCTCCGCCACTGGTTTAGAGACACTCTAGTCATTTTCACTTTGAGGTTAGAGGAAGCTACTATTCTTCCTCTCCTCTTCCCTTTTCTCTTCCTCCCTTCTCCCCTTTTCCCCAATTTTCAGAGACCAAAGGTTTCCCCTATTTGTCTTATTAAAATAAATAAATTACCACAGTACATCCGCACGGCTATACTATTCTTAAACAAAATAAAAACATACAGAAGTATAGCTGCCCGGCTATAAATAAAATAAAGTCCCTCCTAGTGTTTAAGCGCCCACGCGTCAAAATCAGTATAGCTGGCGGCTATACAATTTTTTAATTAAAAAAAAGACCGAAGTATAGTTGCCTGTATACACCTTTTTATATCTTTAAAAAAAAAAAAAAACCACTAGAGTATAGCCACGCGGCTATAGTATTTATAAATTAAATAAAATAAAGTCCCTCCTAGCGTTTAGGAGTTGAAGTGTCAAAAGCATTATAGCCGTCAGCTATACTATTTTTTAATTAAATAAAAAGACGGAAGTATAGCTGTGCAGCTATCCCTTTTTTTATAAAGAAAAAACAATAACCGAGTATAGCCGCACGGCTATACTATTTATTATAGACTCCGAAGTATAGCTGCGCGGCTATATAATTTTTAGTAAGTAAAAAATTATACTGGTATAGCCGCACGGCTATACTATTTAAAAAAAGACCGAAGTATAGCTACGCGGCTATACGTTTTTTAAAATAAAAAAATTACGCGAGTATAGATAAAAGTCCCTCCTAGCATTTGCAGCATAGCCGCACGGCTATACTATTTTTAAATTTAAAAAGACCAATGTACAGCCGCGTAGCGATACTATTTTTGAATTAAAAAAATACCAAAGTACAACTGAAAAGTTTGGCCACTATATAATATATTTTTAAATTTTCTAAATTTTTTTTAATATGTATTATTTTAATTCAAAAATATATGAAAATTATGCGCATAATACATGAATTTTTTTGTGTATTATTGAAAATTTTGTAAAAAAAACATGTATGTACGTGTACAATACGAGTATTGTATGTTTGCTTTTGAAAAAAGATGTATTTTACCGAATCTTTGAGACGCGTATAGAAAACATGTGTATTATTAAAAATTACGTATGTACGTGTATAATACGAGTATTAAACGTGAAAATGCTAAATTCTTTATTTGGGAAATAACTCTGAAAAAGTAAAAATTCAAAAGGGGACAATAGAGACTAAACTTTTTTTTGGATCTTTCCATTAAAAGGGGTGATAACATACTAAACTCACACATACTACATATATGCTAATATTCGAACCTAGACTTTTTTGGGAGAGTATTTTCACCTAACCACCACACTGTTTGCAAAAATCCACCCTTTTTAAGTCTTAATAAAAGGTTTACCAGTGGAAATACATTTGTCTTTTGATTCAGTTGTCCATTAACCTTTCTTTTCCATGCAATATGGACCAACTTTTTGGACCCAACAATAACCTTTGTAGAGCACATTATTATTATAATGTTCGGCCAATTATTTATTTATTTATTTTTAACTATTATTAGAATGGAAAAAATGTTAAATGATACACAATTATTGGATGACTGAAGTCGATATCAGATGATGTAATTAATTAAAGCATAGAAATCATATGAAAATCAACCAGAAATGCGGACATTCAGTCTCCTAAGCCAGATTGAATGAATAATCATATGAAAAACATCAAATCTCTTGGGGGAACTGTTCACCACAAAATGCCTTTGCACTTGCTTCACTCTTTTCTGCATTCTTCTATATTGCTCTTCAGGGATCCCCATTAAGATTTCTTTAAGCTGTGGAATTTCGGTTACCGAAACTTGAACAGAGAAAGACTCCCAATTGAGCACGTCACTGAAAGGCAGAACATAGTGCTGTGATATCAAAACTGGAACACACTCTGCATATATTGCCTCTGCAATTCGTGGACTTGCAACTTCATGGCCACTTGGGCAAATGCAGTACTTGCTTTTCTTCAGCATGTCATGGTATGAAACCCCTTCGGGGAGTGTTTCGTAGACCAGTAAATCTTTGTCCTTCTCTTTCCAATGTTGGAAAAGTAATGGCCTAATTCGACCGTGCATGCGTCCTGCAAAGAACGCTAGGGTTGTACGTTCGGAGGGAGACAAGCCACCAACTAGACCGGTTATGTCACCTGTTTCCAGATTGATTTCAGGAAATGATGCATCTTTCTTAGGGTTGAAGTGCTCAGAAGTATTTGCATTGCATAGTACGCGGATGGCAACAAAGTATAGTTGTTTAACATACCATGTTGCCCTTGGCCCCTATACAAAAGCAAATAATAGCATACTAATTACTCTATCGTGAATTTGAACCATTGATCATGCTGATTTTTGCTTCAATATGCGATCCGGATTAACAATCTAGCAAAAATATAAGTTAGAAGTACTAGTTAGTAAGAAATTTACCCAATCATGGCAAGAAAGCATGACATGATCAGCTCCAAGGCTTCTGTTCCAAAATGGATACTTATTCGATACGACACGAACATAATCAACCACGGTGCGCTCTAGAACAGCTTTGTCACGAATAATTGGATGAAACAGGTACTCAATGATCATCACAACACTGAATGGAAGAAAATAGACATGAGCCTTGTCAGGGTCCAGAGTCCGGAACTTGGTATCAGTTTCCATGAAGCTAAGGAAGAGCCCCTCCATAGAGTATATGTTCTTGCAAGGGCCATTGTGAAATATAGGCGGTTCTCCCTCTTCGTAGACATATATCTTAAACAGGCTTTCCATTAAGAGGTGACTCCTACATAGTCGAAACAAATTAAGACAGAACTGAAGAGCAAGGCAATTTAATTGCTAGGATTTATTGATAGATTCAAAGGTTCTTGTTGCGAGCATTGAGTACCGGTGAAAGGCGTAAGCATTCCTGTATATATCGCCTTGTGGAACATAATCTGCGTCTTCAAGAGCTGTATGGTTGAATTTTGATGTTGCTTCCCTTATCAATGCTCTGGCAGTAGCTAGACCAGCTTCAAGTTTCTCCAGGTTTACATCTCCCTTCTGCTTATCTGTTTTCGAAACAGAATTACCAATGTAGCTCCTTTCAAGATGAGGCAATGCCTTCTGCCTTCTTGCTGCATCCTACAAGTTTAAATTGGTCAAATTTGGTTAAACAGGTCTGCAACAAAATGACATTCTGCAGAAAATAAAAACCAACAGATAAAATTACCAAACTTGAATTAGTAGAATACCATGTGTGATGAAATGTGGTTGAATGTGAATGCAGAATCAGATTTCCTATCTACACTGGTACTCAACCATGGAAATGGAGACGGCGAAAAATCAAACCAAGATGGTCCTTTTGAACCCTTTATCAGAACCATATAAACCATAGCAATGGAAGCCATAGCAAACACAACTGCATTTGGATATCTTCTGTAAACCTGCTTCATCTCTCCTTCCTCCTCTCACTTTCTCTATCACACACACACAAGCACACTCTGTCTTTTAGAACATATAATGCTGTAAAATACCTATGACGTACATGTATTGTTGTAAATTGTCAACAAGTTTTTTCCTTATCAATTTTGTCACTTGATATATAATTTGATCTCTCATGCATGTGGGGATCATCAATGGGTGATTTACCTAATTAATGGTACTTCAATTGAGAGGTAATATTAAATAAAAGAATACAATATATCTAAATATTCAAGAAAAAATGTTGGGACTCTCACAACAGCAGCATCTGGTATCTTCTAACAACTGGTAACCGACATGGAATTTATGGAATGTACAAATGAAGAAAGCAAAACCTAGTAAGATTTAATACATGATTTAGTCATCTGGTGTCATGTAACCATTGAAACTATGGTCTCAAAACCGTACTCTCTAGACGAGAGTTGTATTTGCTTTTACAGAAGTCATGATACAGCAGACCTCTATTAGCCTAAGGAGATAAGTGTCATGTAAATGCCTGAGGCTTATCAGCCATTAAGTAAGTTTTTGCTATTTGCTATTGGTCTTGTTGATTCTTCAAACACAAGATAATCAGATTTTGAGATGCTCGAGACCACTGTCTTTTGCATCAACAACAAAGTATCTAATATAATATCACCTTTATGAAAACTAGACAACACAAACCACCGTCCAAGCAAGGGCAACTCTTTAAAATTACATTTTCAAATATTTTTAAGCACCAGAATCTATTAGAAACCCGGGCTTTGCTATCGTCGGTGCTGGATCTCGCGCTAATTAATAGTTTACAGTCATCCACGTACGTGTGGATCGGCGATGATATTTAGCAAAATGCATATAAATAACCAACTATAACATGAAAGGATACAATATATGCCTTTTTACTTCAAATTAATGCTCACATACTTCATGCATGCCTATTACTTCAAATGCATACTATTTAAAGCATCTGATATATCACCACTTAGAGTGCTAGTTGTTTGGTTGCAAGCAGGCTTTAATTCATGAGAAGTTTCATGTTTCAGAGAAAATTTGAAGGTGTAGCATTCATTGAGTGGAAACTTTTTGTTGCTCTGGATGCCTCCTCCTCTCTTGTTGTGGTAGCCAGGGTAGGTCGACTTCTCAAACCACACTTTCTCTTTCAGAACCAGGCCGGCCTTCTCTGCAAGCTCCGTCAACTTCCATTGATCGTAGGGGTAGTCATCCCTGTGTGAAACATGAACTTCCCCACCTTTGCTGAGCATCCCACGGGCACTTTTGAAGAATGCTTTCAACAAATCCCTGTGCATTCTAATTCAATAGAACCCCCCAAAATTGATCACTAAAGAGCAGAGTAATTAAGTAACTAACCTTGTTTAGTGGCTCGGTCTGGATACTAACGTACTAATCGCTATTTAGCAAACTTATAAATGTTGGGACTCACTTATTAAATTGGGACAACATACCAACATATTGTATATTAGAAGTCCCATTAGAGTGACAAAGCTCATAAGCACTAGCTTGGACTCAATTCCAATCCAGTACAAACCGAACCACCAAACCAAGATATCTATGTGTATAATACATATATAGCATATGAAAAATAAATAAAGAGCTTAAACGAAGCCGCCATTGGATTAAACAAAATTGATTAACCATGCAATATATATGACAAGATAATTGGAAATGAAAGCTTCGGTTAAATGAAAACAATTATGACAAATTTGATCAACTTGGTCACTTACTGTATGAGCTCATGGTCTCTTTCGCATAGCCAAGAGTAATGGCCCGCATGAGGAAAGTTGAAGATGATAACATCAAACTTCATGCACATAAGGGTGGGATGCTGGTGCATTTCATGCACATCAACTTCATATAACACCAAGCATCCTCTTCTCTCCAACTCTTCCAAATGTGCCTCACTGCTCCAATGTTCCATCCATAGAGTATCTGAAATTCAAATTCTTTTTATTTTTATGTTGATCAAATTAATTAGCTAATGTGAAACAAAAGAAGAAAATTAAAAACAGGGTATATCTGAAAAATGTACCTTCAGATTCAAGAGTGGTAGCCACCATGTTAGCGGCAGAGCGAAAAGCTTGAGCCAAACAAGCAGAAAATGAGAAGTCCCCCTCACCAACCAACAATATCTTTTGAGAGCTAGAGTAGTGTCCTATTTGTCTGTTTTTTTCACCCATTATTGATTTAAACTCAAGTTTAGGGTTATATTATTTCTCTTGGAATGACTTATTTCACTTTATATAATAGCACTGAGAGAGCTAAAGTGACTGTGCTTAAATGAAGGCTTTCAATACAGATGGTAGTTTCCAACAAAATAAATAAAGAGAGAAGATGAAAAGTATCTTGTGATGAAGAGTAGTGCAGGAGGAGGGATACAGGAAGATGAAAAGTTTGAGGATATTGTGTTTTAATAAAAAAACTGAAGGATTTTTTTTTTCGAAAAACTAGAGTGGTGATTCTGAGGTAAGGGGAGGCGGAGCGGATGGGTATGGGTAAAATTTTAAATCTTTAACTTCTACTGATTTAATCTTATTTTTTACGGTTTCTAATTTTAAATAAGATGAATTGAAGGGCAAGAGAAAATATAAGGATTATGAAAGGAAAGAATTTGGCCCCTTAAAACGGAGGAGGAGCTCCTCCTTACAACAAATGTTGTTTTGACACTACTCAAATTCTTTTAATAAAAAATTCCTCCTATGTTGAAACTTTTTGAATGTTGCTTGAATTTGACAAGTGTCAAAACTCCATTGGTTTTAAGAAAGAGCTCTTCCTCAATTTTAAATAAACAAGCCAATATCAAAATAAAACTCGGGTATAAATTCAAGATCATATTGTCATGACTAACACAATCAAGTAGCAATTTACATGCATTAACATCAAAATAGGTGGATTTTTATAGGCCCACATCTTGCATACTTCATATGGCTTGGTATCAAATCTTTTACAAAGCCATATGCACAAAACCAAAAATATTCAAACTAACAAAAGTAATCACATCTTGCATATCTGATCGATGATCCTCTCCATAGGCCTAATGCATCACCACTACCTTCTGCTTCAAAAGGACACTACTACTACCAAACACTTCACATAATCATTTAATAGTCGTCGCTGCAAACAGACATTTCATCACAAGTGTAGTCATACTCATATTGTTGCAGAGCAAATTTGAAGGTGAAACAATTTCTGAGACGAAACGTTTTGTTGCTCTTGATGTCACCCCCTCTCTTGTTCTGGTAACCCGGGTAGTCCGATTTTTTGAACCACACTTTCTCCATCAAAACCAGGCCTGCTTCCTCTGCAAGTTCCTCCACATTCCATCTGTTATACGGGTAGTCATCTCTGGTTGCAACATGAACTTCCCCGCCTTCCCTCAGCATCCCACGGGCATTTTCGAAGAAGGCTTTCAACAAGTTCTTGTGCATTCTGCTTCCATTCAACACCCAAATCAATTAGCCCTCAAGGTAGGGAAACTAAGTAACTAATTAAGAATACTATATGGTAGCAAATAATTATGTAACTAATTATAGGCCTGCGGCTTCACCACTGCATTGAATAACATTGATTAGCCATGAAACACTTGATAAGACAATTGGGAAAATATAGCATCCTTGGATATGATACCAATCAAATAAAATTCTCCACCTCTTCTTCAATAAAATGTCAAATTCTCCACCAGTTCATACATAACAATGAATTCATCACTGGTTTTGTTGATAGATCTGGATGATGATGATGATTTTCCAAAAGAATATAAAAGAGGGACTAGTGTAGTAGAAAAATGTTGAGCATTCATAATCATTCATTATTGGAAAGGGTAATTAAGAAACTTAAGCTGCACGAATCTCATACAAATACAATCCAATCAAAACAAACTGTTAGGGTTGACACCTGTGTACGACAGACTACTATTTATTTGTTCTAGTTAATTAATTTAGGGTCACTTACTGAATGAGCTGAGGGTTTCTTTCACGTAGCCAGGGGAAATGGCCTGCATGAGGAAAGTTGAAGATGATGACATCAAATTTCCTCCATTGCAGAGCGGGATGGAGGTCCATCTCATACACATCAACATCATGCAACACCAAGCACCCTCTCCTCTTCAACTCACTCAAGTGTGACAAACAGCTCCTATGTTTGGCCCTTAAAGAACCTAAAAATTGAATCTTTCATCAAATTAATCACTGAAAAACAAAAAATAAAGAAACCCCAAAAATGGTTGCACCAAAAAACAGGGGTAGCGCTGAAAATGAACAAAGATTATTGGTCACATCTTAAAGAGTACCCATGAACATAAAAGTTGTGTTTTTGAAAAATGTACCTTGAGATTCGAGAGAAGTTGCTACCATGTTGCAAGCAGAGCCAAAGGTTCGAGCTAAACAAGCAGAGAATGAAAAGTCTCCTTCACCAACCAGCAATATCTCTTGTGCGCTACTGTAGTGTTCAATCCATCTCTCCCTACCACTACCCATTTCTGATTCTGATGAAAGATTTCTGCTCAAACGTGCTCACATGAGATGAGACCCCAAAGCTCTCTATCACAAGCAAAGGAAAAAAAGCTCACACCTTTAAAGAAGAGCAGCTACGCATTTGAGAGGAGTCATTGTTGGGCTTTGGGTTTGTGGATGTTTTGGGCGTCTTGGGCTGCAGTTTGTTCTGGAAAAAATGTCAAATTATGTTATGGTCATTGTTGTGTGACTCGTTTTTCACTTTAGTCCTTATTTAAAGTTAGTAGTTTCTCTCATTATAGTTTTGATATATTTGTGGGAGCAAAAATAATTTCACGACCACTCCAATGACGTCAAGTGGAAATGCAAATAAATATCAAACTTGTCCTAGATTGCAATAATTATGTTAATTAAATTCTCATTTCATTAGCTATCAAGAAATACTGATTACATTCAATTTCTATAATCTCATCCATCTCCTTAAATAAACTGCCCGTAATAATTCCGAAGATGGCTACAAGATAATTCCCCTATTTATAGCTAAGGAATTACAAAAAAGGTAATCAATTCCAAAATCCTTCTGCGGCTTTCATGAAAACACACATCTCCTTAAGATATTTTTCCTGACTTATCATCGAAAGGTATTTGGCCAACACCACACCATTATTTATCAGATTGATTGTTACTATTTTGCAGGTCATTTTCGAAGAGCAATTAAATTATATTAAAGTTCTTCATTTAATTCATCCAGAAGGAATTTTGTTACTACACCATCAACAGTTAAGTATAAAAGTTTAACATCGTCAAAACAAGATAGAGAGCGGTAAGATACTTGTAGTTCAAGTGACTAAGATATTTATCTATGCACTTGATATCCTATGTTCGATTCTCCCCTCTCTAATATTACATGTATCAAGAAAAGAAAAAAAAAAAAAAAAAAAGAGTGTGCACATACGATATAATTGCAAATGTTTTGAAGAGATAACATAGTTCTCATATATGGTAGTTGCAAATATTGGTATGTAGAATTTCATCTATTAATTTTAGTAAAATTTTCAATTTGAGATTTATTGTTATTATTATTAATGAGACAAAGCTAACATTACATTCATAAAACTACTTCCGGGGCCAAAATGAAAATGAGTTTAACAATATTGGCTAAACATGTGATTAAACTTTAATAATTTTAATTTTATAGTAAATAACAAAAATAAAATATGTTTCTTCGCAAGGGGGTTCCCGCCAAAAGCGTGACGAGACCCTGAAAGCGGTGTCGTGTGTAGTCGTGTGTATCTTTGTCTCAACATCCCTGCAATGGACTACGTATCACGCTCTTCACAAGCCCCATCGTTCGCCACGTGCCCACGTCAGTTCCCCATTGCCGCCACGTGTCCACTCCTCACCTTCACTTTGTATTGTAACATCAATCAAATCAAACAGCTCTCTCTCTCTCTCCCTCAAGACTCGACCCTTATCATATGCTCGTCTTTATTTTTCTCTAGTCTCTCTCTCTAGTGTTCTAATTTCTATTAAAGAAATTCAATTGTTGCCCTAAATTACTTACTTGCATGGTTTCATGAAGGTCCCGGTGCATTTTGTGGCCAAGCTTTAGCAGTCTTAAAAGGATTCCTAACCGTGCCCTTCGTTTTCTTTTTGCTCCTCATCTTGGTCTTCTCGAGGATAATTATAATTAACCATATAAGTTAATTATTGCTAATTACTCCATTATGCTATGAACAATATGTATTATTAGTGAAATATTAGTGTTGAGGCTTAAAAAATCTACGATTTGGCCCAATTAAATTCCTGGGCCAAAGCAATGCCTTATTAGAAAAGACCTGATTTGGAGCATGCGAAAGTTCGTCATTTACGCTTGCACAAGCCACGACCACATGCCATGCCAAATAAATAGTCTGTCATACTAGGAATCAAGATTAAGATTATAAAATGCATTGGCTCTATAAACCAAGCTAATTAATCCCGTCAAGCATCATATTCCTCTTCAAAGCGATAAAATTCAAGCACGCCAATGACATGCAATGCCAAGCAAAAATCATTATTATTATACATATCCACGCTACAAGTTTAAGTGGACCCAAGCCATGCAAATGCCCGTGGCTTGCTGAGTGGGTTGTGGTATGGATGGTAACGAGCTTTCATGAGGCTCATTGATGAGCCGAGAAATGGAAGTTTTGGGCTACTTGGGAGCCCCAAAACTCAAGCTCATTTCTTGAGCCCAAATATATGGGTAAGCATAAAGGAGAGAAAAAAAAACCCAATACTCTAGCAGAGAGAGCCCAATACTTTAGGAAAAATTAGTTCATCATCTTAATAAAAATGACCCATCACTTAAGAGGTTGGCTCATTCCCTTAATACACTAACTCATCACCTTAGGAAGGCCCAAGTGGCCCAAGTGACTTAGAAAATATCCAAAAAATCTCCAGCACCTGGTTTGAAACGAAACCACAATAGAAAACCAAGAGATGTTTGTACTCTCAGGCTGCTGGGAGACTCCAAGGAATATTTGAGCAAAACACTCTTCAAACCAGCGTACATGCCTATTTCTTTCCCTTATCATATCTAGCCATGGAAGAGGGGAGAAAAGAAAGAAGAAAGATGGCTAAAAATTGGAGTTCCCCACTAGAACAGCTGCGGGAAAAGCCTAGAGCTCCCCAAATCCTGTTTTTGTGCAATTGGGTAGACAGAATTTCACCAAATAGGATTAGTCAAAGGAAGATAAGAAAAAGGAAGAGAAAGACTTGGCCAAATTGGATAGAAACCATTAGGGTTTCTTGGAAAAGAGGAGCTTCCAGTGGCTATAAATGAGGCACCTCCTACCTAACAACCAACACACACATTCAGAGAGTAAGCTCCATCTCTCATATCTGAAACCTCTGCAATTTTGTACCCTATTCATCCATCTCCTCCCTTTTTCTCTTATGTTAAAAAGTTCCAGAGCTTGACAGATTTTTCGTCAAGTTGCCGGAAACTACTCAACACACCCATCATACCCCCATCTCTCTCCCTCTTCAACAAACCCTTTTAGAATCCATTCCGCCTTGTCTTAAAACCCCTGTTTCTCATAAGAATTCACAGCCTTCTCTCTGTTTATGCTAAACTCATGATGGTTTTGCTCCCATGCCACAAACTTCTCATGCCAAGCTAAGAATCTACCTATAAGCAATTGTCTTTTTTGCTAGTGAAGATAACCAAGGTGCTTCCCAAGACTCCGCTACCCTTTCGAAGCATTCTTGGGGTCTGATGTTTGAATTCAGACACAAGGGGTAATTTTATCAGTTTGCTCATTATGGCAGCCGAGCCCATTTGCAGCTGTCGGAACGAAAAAGCCCCTACAATTGGTGAACCAAAATTTTTAAGCCCAACCCATGAATATTTGATACCAATATATTACTTAGGAGGACATTCACTGGTGCCATCAACAAAACGACATAAGGTCCCGACTTTTCAAAAGAGGAACGATCTGAGCTAGCCATAATGGATTGCTATAAGAATCCAGTTTGATGTTGACAATGGAGGGTATAGAAGGAGGAGGTACAACATTGCTAGTTTGGGAATTGTTGGTGGCCATGTGTGTAACAAGTGTGGAGAGAAAAAATAAATAAATTTAAGTCGTGAGAAAAAAACAATAGAGTGCTCAGGAATTGTTTGATGAGCTTGTATCCATCAATACGATGGAACAACAATTTATATTATCAAAACAACAGTATCAGTTACAGAAATTACATCTTATCCCAATATAAGTGGGAGCCAAACCTATACATTTGAAATACAAACAGAAAATCATATCATATTACAATTAAGGAAGTCCACACAGACTAGGACTTCTTCTCCACACCTGTTACAGATTTTGAATTTGAACACATGGATAATATTTGTCTAACACATACGTACCAGCATGCCCACATGCGAATATAATGTGTTTATGGTAATGACTGTATGCTTATGCATGCATGTGTATATATTACATCTTCAAGTAGTTTTAAGCAACATAATCTATACGTGAATCAATTAACGGTTCACAATTGTTTAGGGCAGGCACGTGTGATTCGATGAGGGTATTTAGCTAAATGGAAAAATGCATGTAACATGAAAAGGAAACACAATCCATCTATAGCTTTGTTTTGCATACGTATACTGTGGTTCAGTCTTAAATCCTTTATTACAAACCCATATACATACAGCACATATATGTTCTGCTCTGCTTTCCATACATTTATGGCTGTTACTTCAAATGCATACCATTTAAAGCATATGATATATCATCATCAAGAATGCTGGTTGTTTGGCTGCAAGAAGGCATTAATTCATGAGTAGTGAATTCAGGTTTCAGAGAAAACTTGAAGGTGTAGCATTCTTTGAGAGGAAATTTTTTGTTGCTCTGGATGGCTCCACCTCTCTTGTTGTGGTAGCCAGGGTAGTCCGACTTTTCGAACCACACTTTCTCTTTCAAAACCAGGCCCGCTTTCTCAGCAAGCTCCTTCAACTTCCATTGATCATAGGGGTAGTCATCCCTGTGTGAAACATGAATTTCCCCGCCTTTGCCGATCATCCCACGGGCACTTTCGAAGAATGCTTTCAACAATTCCCTGTGCTTTCTAATCCATTTGAATCCCAAATTAGTGATGAGATTGGACTATATAATGTCGTAATTACTGTAAATGTTGAGATTGGACTTACTGTATGAGCTCATCGTCTCTTTCGCATAGCCAAAAGTAATGGCCTGCATGAGGAAAGTTGAAGATGATAATATCAAATTTCATGCACATAAGGGTGGGATGCTGCTCCATGTCATCTACATCTACTTCATATAACACCAAGCATCCTCTTCTCTTCAACTCATCCACATGTGCCTTACTGCTCCGATGTTTTTTCGATAGAGTATCTGAAATTTTATCATATATATTGATCAAATTAATTAGCTAATCTAAAACAAAAAATTGAGAACACGGTAAGGTAATGGTTGGCCATTTGCTAATACATATATACAGTTATATTCTCATATGCGGACGTCATTGTAAACCGGAAGAAAAGCAGGGAAGGGTAGTTGTGGATATCTGCATAGGAGAAAATCTGTATACATATATATACTTGTAAAATGTACCTTTAGATTCAAGGGTGGTAGCAACCATGTTAGTGGCAGAGCGAAAAGCTCGAGCCAAACAAGCAGAAAAAGAGAAGTCTCCCTCCCCAACCAACAATATCTTATGAGAGCTAGAGTAGTGCCGTATCGATCTTATCCGTCTCTGTTTTTTACGACCCATTATTGATTTATACACTCAAGTTTCTCCAATGATTTATGAGAAGACTTTCAATACAGATGGTAAGTAAAGAGAGAAGATGAAAAGTATCTTGTGATTAAGAGTAGTGGAGGAAGAGGAGGGAGGCAAGAATATGTGAAGTTGGAAGATAAGAATTTCTGTTCAACTGATTTTAGAAAGAAAAAAAATGATCGACAACAGATACAAGTGTAGGTTTTGCACTGGGCTGGTGAAGAACGAGAAATGGCTGGATTTTGGGGATCAGTTATTCTCCATGTTGATGCAAAGAAGACGAAAGGTTTTCATTATAAAACAAACCAAACAACAAATAAAAACATTAAGATTTATAATGGTTCGGCTTTATATTCTGTGTGTTGTTCGAAGATAGGGTACAAAATAATGTTTAACCTCACAAATTCAAAATTTCAAATATACCAAACTCGCACACTCAAGAACAAAATAGAAAACAAACAAGGAAGAAAGAGATAAACTTTGAATCTCCTTGGTCAGAAAGACTGCCTATTTCCAAAGATGTACGGCAGCTGCTTGTTATCCAAATCTGTCTATAGGTTTAGAGTCGCCTTTCAGCCTAGGGGGGCTTCTCCAATAAACCATAAATAATGGCCCGGTAACACACCAAGTTAACGCAATTTAGGCCAATGGAAAATTATCTTGATTTGCAGATCAGTAAAGTGGATTATGTCCAAATCTCTATGATATTTTGGTAATGTATGTAAGATCTAATTTTTGACTCTCGCTTGTATTAAGAAAAAATAAAATAAAATAAAACAAGGACAAATGGCCAAACGCCACATAATGCAGGAAAGGATTTCAACTGTGGGCCTAGCGGACCCACCTAATGACCACTATAGGTCATGGCCTACATATTATGTATTACTTTAAGTCGAATAAGCCTACACTTTTCTTTAAAGAACTCCATCAGCCCATATTTCCTTTACCTTTTAATTATTTCTGCCCTCTCTCCCTTGACAGTGCTGGTTTGGCCCTCACTACTGAATTTCATGTACCACCACTGCTTAAAGTAACACATAGGATTCGAATTCTAGTACTGGCCTTTTTCTTTTTGGTTTGATTATTCTCTAAGGCTTACCAATAACTTTATATATACATATATGCACTTGTCCCTTGACACACGCATACGAGTGTGAGAATTGGTTTTTTTATTAATTTTATTAATTTTAGTTTTTAAAATTTTAGAACTAAAAAAGATAAAATAGGTGGATCAAATCAAGTGAGGTTTAGTGGAAAAAAAAAATCAAGTGAGGTTTAGGCCCTTAATTTGTAACTAAATTTCACTTTTGGTCTCTCAATTCGATTATATAGTCCTCGTATTTTTACTCATGGTTTACTCTTATTATTTACTTTCAAATTTGTCAATTGTTTATTAATTTTAAAAGTAAATTAGTAATTTCAATTTTTATCTTTAAAAAATAAATAAATACATTAATTAGTGAGCTTTTGTTGAATTTTCAAAAGAGGGGAGATATATAGGGTACTGAAATTGAGGCCAGTCCATTGATTTTGATGGCTTTGGGCATATATAAAGTTGAACCAATTATAAAATGACTAGTTGCTAGTTTTGGGTTTTTCTCTCCAAATAGGCTTTATATGAGTTTTTGTATAATATGTTATGCTCAAATGGGCTTATTTATAAATAAATAAAATATTGTTTTAGTACAAGCGATTAGAGGAGTAGGTTTACACAAATATTCATTGAGTGCCTTAGAGTTTCGAATCTCTGCCCACATGGATGGAGATGAAAGAGCTCAATCAACTGAAATATACTTCATTGGCTTAAGTTGGTTAGTTTAACTAAAAGAGAGCATCTTTGTCACTCCATTCGAGAATTTTACTATCAGCATTTCTTCCTTCTTTTACTACGATGGAAGCGTCCACTAAAACCAACCCTTCTCCCTTTTTTCGACCAACTTCTCCACATTCTTTTCCTGCCAACTGGTGGGTTACATTTTTGAGGTAGGATGGATGAGATTGAGAGGGTATGTCGACAGCCTCAAGAGTGCAAAACAAAAACGAATAGGTTTGTGTGATGTTCGTGCATTAAGGATTTTCTTATTCTTATTCTTTTTTAATTAGTAACGGGTGAAACGGGTCGTATTGTGTCATTCGCAAGTTGTAACAGGTTATGTGTGTGTCTAGTATTTTTTTACTTGTTAACTTAACGGGTCGTGTCCCTTCAAATGGGTTGACACAAACACGAAAAATTCGACTTGTTTGTCTAGTCTAGTCTCCACTACCTCAAAGTTATCCACAGTATGAAAAGAGAAAGATGGGCATCCCCAATATTTAACTTAATGAAGTTGGTCACATTCTCAACCTAACACTTGAGAGCAAGCAATGTGCTGCTCGACTAGGAGGAGAAACACTTCCATGAAATGAGGATATCAATTTATTATCCCCGGCCAATAACACTATAACACACGTGATAATACATTCATGTGACAGACGTGATAATACACCCATCATAGTTGAAATATGATGCTAATTTTATCAGTTTATCAATACCTTTTTTTTAATATTTATATGATATACCCATTTGATAACCATACAATTAGAAACTTTTGGGATACGATCGATAAAGATCAAATATCTCTCAAATATAATCTATGTTAGATTTTTTTTCTTCTCATATTTCGTAATCTCTGACTTTGTACTTTAAAGAAAAAGTAGCATAGTGGTTGGCATTGCCTTTACCCAACCATGTGATCATGTGTTCAAGTGCATGTGCACCGCGCATCACCACACCATCCCCCCTCATCTTTTTCGAAAGTTGGCACCAAAAAAAAAAAAAAAAGGTAAAAGAGAACAATATAAATTGCCCTTTATTATTAGGAGATTTCATCCCATGCTTGGTTTTTAGGCCACATTTCTAACCTCTCAAATTATCTTGAACCAATTACAAGCTTATATTAGGACCATCAGCCAATGGAGGTTTACCATAGTGGTATGCGGTCCTCCCCTCCTCCTTTTCCTTTACAAATGGCATCTTGGTTTTTAGCCTCCTTAGAGCACCTCCACCGCAAGAGGCTAGTCTAGGCAAGATGGGGCCCTAGGACCAGGGAGCAGCTCCAGTGCCAAGTCCAGTCAGGACAAGGGGTGGGTCCCATGAGCCAAGGCAAGCCCACGAGCAGATTTGGCTCGTGTTGTTGCCTTTGGGCTGCTGACGTGACGTCAGGGCAAGAAATTCAAATTTCTTTTACCATTGGCGCGTGGATCCAACGGTTGCCCCTTTTTTTTTTTTGCTAAAATAAAAAATTCAAAATATTTGTAAAAAATATCAAAAAAATCTGGAAATTTTTTCTATAAATACCTACCAATATTATGCACTTTCCACACCAAATCTTCATACAAATTCATCTCCTTCCAATATTTTTCACTTTCCACACCAAAATTTTATACTACAAAATTTCATTTATGTAAAAATAGAAATGACCTCTTCCATTGAAATCGGAGGGTCATGGACAATTGTTCGAAACGGTCAAAATCTTGGTGACGAGGTAAAAAAAATAAAATTGCCCTTTTATTCAATTTAATGTCTTTTTATTATTAGTTATATTTCTTGCATTTCCAATTTCATTTTTTAATAGATTATTCAAGGCAAAACAAAAAAGAGGAAAACCATTACACATGGCTCCTCAAGTGAACAATGCTCGCAGTCGGTTCCAGTGGTGCGTTCTGTGTCGGAAATAAAGGTAGTATTATGTCCTCTGAAGGAAAATACTCCCCCACGTTGTGATCTGTTGGAAACGCCTCCAACAATGATTGAGTCGTCCTTGTACTCGATTGTGTCAGACTATGAGGACTGAGAGTATTTCAATTGTATGATGAGTAAGTAGGTATTTCAATTGTATGATGAGTGAAATGTGAATTTTATAATAAATATGGACACGTGGCAATCGAAAATCTTACCTGAAAATTTTATCTAAAATTTGAGATGTTAATTTTATAATAAATATGGACATGTGGTAATCGAAAATCTTATCCGAAAATTTAATTTGAAATTTGAGATGATAATTTTATAATAAATAGTGACATGTGGCAACAAAAAATCTTATCAAAATTGATAGTTTAAGTATAAAAAATAGAAAATAAATTAAAGTGAATAGTAATTGCCCCTGCCCTTTGGGGTGGAAACACAAAAGGCGTAGGCTGCCACTATTCACTTGAATAGTGACAAACCTTGCCTTGTCTTTGCCTTACCCTTGCCCTTTGGGGTGGAGGTGCTCTTAGGCCATCTCCAATCCATCATGCCAAACCCAAAAAATCCTGAATTTTAACCAAAGTCCTCTCCCAAAGTTGGGGCGGAATACCAATCCATGCAAGTTGCCCTGTAATTATTATTATTAATATTTTTTTGTGTGGAGCCCACTCAGCCATGATGCAGCCCATGTGAAAAGAGGAAATAATAGGGCATGCGCCATAGTGTTGCAGAAGTTGTCACGTGCTACTATCGCAACACTTTTTTTTTCTTTTTCTTTTTTATTCCAATAGTAACCCAAATCAACTATCCATATTAAATCCAAGTTATTTTAATGGTAATAAATAGATCATGAGGTTGAAATTTAAATTCAACGGTAAAAATAATATTTTAAATTAATCTAAATCATATCCAACCTCCAAACTCTATAAATACCCACCTATTTCTCAAATAAAATTATATTTATAGAATTTTAATTTTTTTAGGTTAAATTGTTCAAAAATTAAATTATGAAGTTATTTATAAAGATTAAATGTAGAAAAGATATCCATGAAAAAAAATTAAACTTAAATCATTCTTAATAAAGTGGCGAACTTAAAAGTTGAGTCTAAAGAGTTGGGGGAAAAAAACGATTTGAGTCCGAGCAAAATCCAACGTAATATTCCCCCACTTCCTGCCTACTGAAATAAAATTATAATTCCCATCCAGTAGGTAAAGGGGGGGCATGCACATCAGACCATCCATCAGATAAATGGGAGGGATGCACATCATACCATTCATCAGATAGATGGGAGGGACGCACATCAGACCATCCATCAGCTGATGTGCATAAATCCCATCCAGATAAATGGGAGGGAAGCACAACAGGCGACCATCCATCAGCCACATTGGTAGGACTATCCACAATGATCGGTCGAGAGCTGCAAATGATACTTAAACATGTAAGTTTTACAACCCAATAC